TTAAAGGGATAGCCTCACGGCTCAAGCTCAAGTTATTTTAAGCTGCAAGCTACAAGTGCAGGCTCATTTGATTCCATTGTTAACGAAACAATGCGGAAAGCAAGCTGTTGACTGTTACGGGAAAATTTTGTTCGAAAACTTCGCAGTCAGTGGAGTCAACTCTGCATTGGAGAGAATATTTCTCAGTTCTGACCACTGTGTATTGTTTATAAACCAAACTGATGCGAAGAGATTCCTTGTATGTTTGTTCAGAATAAATTCTTTTGCCCGAAAGATAGACTCGGCAACGTTGAATACGTAATTCGAAATTTATATGTAAATCCGTTGACATCGTCCTTGACATTCAACAAAAATTCGAGAACTTTCCAAACGGGGGCAAATGGTACCAAAATTTCCTTCTTTGTCACGTTTGCGGAAATTCCAGAAAATGCTGTTCCATTCGCCACAGAAAATTTCCGGAAATTCAAATTGAAATTTTGGTAAAAGCAAAAGACCACGTGACCACTTTACCACTTGGCTTTGTGCTGCATGCATGCTCGAGTGATAGCTTGCACATGGGCCGAACCGTTAGATTTTCCAAAGGCTGATCGAGTTTCGTAAAATGAACTAGTGTTGTAAGTCTGTATTTCTTTGGTATACAAAAGAAACGTTGTAGAACTTCCTCGGCCCTGGAAATGTTTGGGAAAATGGCCGCAATTTTGGGTAAATGCATCCTCGGATACCCAGGGGCTACTAGCCGGGACGATGCGATATTTTCGGCGCGAAAGTTTATTTCAAGAGCTGAAGAGCCCCTGGGAACTTATCCTTACCGAACCAGTTCCAGCACTGGTCGAATTCCGTCCCGAATTCTGGCCAATCAGCGGAACGGAATTGGATCAGTCCTGGAACTGGCTCGGTAAGAATAAGTTCCCAGGGGCTCTTCAGCTCTTGAAGTAAACTTTCGCGCCGAAAATATCGCTCGCCCGAAAATATCGCATCGTCCCGGCCAGTAACCCCTGCGGTCTCCGAGGAGGGGTAAATGTAGCGGCGTAACGTTATATTCGTGAGGAGGGGAGGGGTGGAGGGATAGGGGCTGTTTTATTATCAGAAGGATTTGAGTCTTGGGATTGGAGGCTTATCTTTGGTATTAATTGAATAGACTGGGGTGGTATGTTTTACGTCACGAGGACAGGCCTTAATTATTCAGCCAATCAACAACCGGGTACCTGTTCCACCTCTGAAAGACTGGAGACTAGAGGGATTACCATGGGGAATAAAGTTTATTTAACTGTTTATATTATATACGTGCAACAACACTTACCAATATTATTTTATTTTCCCAACAGTCCGTTGAATTACTAAAGATCGTTCAGTTGATAACAGTACATTCCTAGAAAAGTTGCAAAGGTTGACAAGTGCCGTCATATGCGACTTGAACGATCGCTAAAAATGTTGGTGACGGACTCGCCTCGCCATTTGATCTCAAGGTGTCGCTGTCGTTATATAGTGTTAACAATTCTTCTGGTCTTGTTGATAACATTCTATATGGTAATGAACTTGAGGAACTACGGTCTTTACACGGGCAATCACCCTCTCTTCTCAGCTCAGCCGTGCGAATATCTGAGCAGCAAACAAAAGGACCAGCTTCTAAGCATGGCGTATACTGTTCACAAGATCTTGGATGACTTTGGTATAGAGCACTGGCTCATGTATGGATCTGTTTTCGGCGCGGTTCGTGCACACGGACCTCTTCCGTGGGATAATGATGTGGATATTGGTTTTAACGGCTCGGGAAGGTTTGCATCGATGAATTTCAAGGAGTTTTTATCGGCTTTTGAGTCCAAAGGGTTGAAAGTGTATTATAAACGATGGATAACAAGCAACGTGATGAAAGTTTACAGCGACGATCTTCCTCATATAAAAGTCGACTTGTTTGCTATGTATGACTACAACGGTTGGATGAAGAGAGCTGGGCTGGAAACGTGGATTTTTGCTTTAAATTATAATCTCCACGACACATTTCCTGCACGATTAGTAAAGAAACCATTACCACGAGTTCGCTTTGGTTTTTTCAACATGACAGTTCCAAGAGAGGGAATTGAAATCCAAAAGTATCTGTATCCAGATGATTGGTGGCAGGAAGTAAAGCCGATCACATGTGTGTAACGCAACGCAGCCTAAGTGTTGTAGGAGTTGCGTTACTTTCAACTGACCAAAGTGTCACGCGTGAAACGCAGTCCTTACTGACCATTTTAATGTAGTGATCAACAACTGAGAGATGGTAAAATTCACTATGTTTAACTTTGTTCACATCTGATTTGAAACCTAGTTTAGTTTATTTTGACACCGACTGCAATCAATCGATCGATCGATCGATCAATCAAGTCAGTCAGTCAGTCAGTCAGTCAGTGAAAGAATGAATGAATGAATGAGTGAGTGAGTGAGTGAGTGAGTGAGTGAGTGAGTGAGTGAGTGAGTGAGTGAGTGACTGAATGAGTGAGTGAGTGAGTGAGTGAGTGAGTGAGTCAGTCAGTCAGTCAGTCAATCAATCAATCAATCTAAGATATCACCAATCTTGAATTCGCGTGTAAAATCAAATCACACACGTTGCACACTATGGGCTCTTTCCATTCGACCAAAATAATTTTTCCGGATTTTACGGGAATTTTCCAACGAAATTCACGTGCCATTTGCCATCATTCAGAATTTCCGAAATTCTTGGTTGAATGGAAAGCGCCCATGTGATTGATTTCTACTTTATTTGAGTCTATCAGACTTTGGCAGTTTTATATTCTTATTCTTTTCTTTATTAAGTTACTTTTATGGAGTCTATTTTATGAAAAGTTGGTGTGAAGGTTCACGATTTTTACGCCGACTTAATTAAGGCTCCGTTCACACTACGCCAGAACGATTTGAGAAAGTGTTTCACCGAGAACACATCTTCTCGAAAACGCTCGTCAAATCAGAGGAATTTTGAAAACGCAAGGCGCGTTTTAGTGTGAACGGGAAACATTTTGAAAACGGAGCTTTTCAAAATCTATGACGTCGCGATAATCATGTGATTAACTCTCACCCTCCAGGGTGCACTCAAGCGTTTCTGCCGCCTGTGATTGGCGTGTTTTCAAATTTCTCCGGTGTAGCGTTGACGGGTCTAAATGTATAATAGCAGAAGTCATAAGGAAATCTGCTTTTGACGTTTGGTGTGGCACCGTTTTGAAAATTGAGAAATATTATCATTCTTTAATATGCAATCCAGCGGTGAAAAGAAAATC